GGGGGGGGGGGGGGGAGGAACAACACATAAATTCTTTGCATTTGTCGTAACTCATGCTTTTTAACTTTATATTTTATAATACATTAACATGTTGATATATTAACATAGGTGTATAATTTATAAAGAAACAAAATGCATGCTCAAATTTTTTGATTGATAAGCATAGGCAATCACATATGGGTTTAGAGACCTCTGCTCTGAGCATGGGTGCTCTAAGCATGATGGGCAATTTATCTTTCATTAGGGTTCATTTCCAATCAAAGGGGAGAAAAAAAGTCAGGCTCCTCCAGCCCTGCATCATTGTGTCATTCCTGGTTGGTGGAGCGAGAGAGAGCTCAGGAAGACGAAAAGGGTGTGATTTCTGATCTCATTGTCTAAAATGGCACTTCATTTATAGCATAGGGAATATCGTCAACAATACTGGGATAAGTATGTATGGTGCCAGGTAGGTACTAGATTTATAGGGAAATGCTTAGTAAGTTATATAAATGTCTAGGCACTATGCTGTACACCTAAAACTAATGTAAAATAATATTCAATGTCAACTGTAATTTTTAAAAAAGAAGTAACTACAAAAATAAAATAAAACATAAAATAAAATGGCACTTTACTTGGGACCTTCTCAAAAAAAGGGCTCAAGCCAGCCCATTCCCTTTCCCCACTCAAGAGAACTCTTCACCATGACTCGAGGTCAATGCCAAAGCCAAGGACTGAGCCGTATTCTTGGGCTGACTCCAACCCAGACTTTGTGCTCAAAACGTGGTATTAGATTTCTTGACTTCAAGGTCATGGCCAATAGGCAATTTAGGTTTTTTTCAATTGTCCTCCCTGCCAAGAATACTGACAATGCTATCTGTATCCTCTGCAATCTATGTTGATTGTAGGAATGGAGTGTGGATTATACATTGTTGGGTATAATTACCTCCTGGAATACAATGCATCTTTTTTCAGACATCCCAGGGAGATAATTTGGACATAATGAAGATATATAGTAATCAGATAATTACTATCGATTGCTCTTTAGACGTCTTGATGAGGTAATTAGGGTATACTGGAAAGAAGCTAGAACTGATTGATTGACATGACTGTAATCTCGAAGATTTCTAATTATGTTTCTTTTCTTCTAATGGCTTATAAACAAACATCATTTTAGTTTTAGAATTTGTCAGGTGCCAGGTTCACTGGGAACATCAGCTTTCTCTATTATGCTAACTAGACACTGAACATGAACATGATCAACATAAGCTCATTATGCCTTCCTGCTGAAGCAAAAAAAAACTGCAATTAACCCTCACTTTTCTTATTCATCTTCATTTCCACATGGCCAGGTTCTTGTCCAGGAATGGAGTGTGAAGTGTTATGGGAGGGAGGTCCATGAGGAGCATGTGTGACTCTGGGCTGGATGGATCTGTGCAGCCTCCTGGGGACCCTCAGAGCCTGCTGAGCTGCAGGCATAGCAGAGCCAGGGCACAGTGACACAACATATGTGTCTGGGTGCCACTGACTGGTTGGGGGCTGGCTGACTGCTTAGGCTCCTGTCACAAGCAATAGCCACTCATCAGCCAGCAATGGTGAATAATCTCAGCATCAATATTTTCAAGCAGCTGGACCGTGCTTGTCCTTCCATCAATGTGCTATTGCCTCATCTCTTCCATTAGACACTAATTAGAGAAGTCCCTGTCTGAGACCATCCCACATTATCCTAATATTTCCTACACCTTCTAGGACCTTTCAGCAGCTTGCATTGTTCAGAACAGTGGCCTGACTCAGAGATGATGGATGCTGAGAACCACTAAAGAAACAGCTTGAAATGAGCTGTTTACATGTAATCAATGATGTTAGTGAGCTCTGCACTTACTGGAGTACAGTCTGGTTCCCATACTTTCAGTTCTCCCCTGTGACCTTTCTGTGCTTGGTACCCTGGTAGGTGCTCAATACTTGTGTGTGAAATGGCCTGTGGTATTGAACCTCATATTTTGAATTGAAATCTCATCAAAGAAGGACATTATATTTTTATAAAATCCGTTATTTTCTTGAACTCCTATTAAAAAAATAAAGGTCACAAAGTCCCTACATATTTGTATCACTAAAACTTTTAAAGCATGAGGGAGACAGTGTGCACAGGGGTGGTTCAGACAGCAGAGGAGACCCAGGATGTTTTGTTCATTGATAACCTGTGGTTAGATGCTGTTTGGATAATTGTAGCTGTAGCTGGAAATGCTTCATTAACTCCCATTAACTATCCTGAGAGATGTAAGTACATATAAAATTGTCTTCGTTTTACATCTTTTTAGTATAAGTAAAGTTATATAGCAATTTTTTGATCAATCACAGTTCTTGAGATGCCCTTTTTAAAATTTAATCTAGTAACTGTTTAGTTCAATATTTGATGCCAAGAAACCTTCCTAATCTACGTCAACATATCTTCCCCTAATGAGTGCATTTTAATTTTTTTGATAATATGAAACCCTGCAATGGATTATTTTAAGCAAAATTCTACTATTTTATTTCTGTAGGTAAAGAAACTACAAAAGATTGGAAAAAATTCCCAAAGCACATTCCAAATTTTTGTTCATGAGTTGGTTTTACCGAGTCCAAGACACGAGTTTGTTTTCTAGTTATTTGCCCTTTTCCTTAAAAGTTCATTGAAAATCTGCTTACTTACCTATTTCTATTTCTACCTGTTTTTCTTTTTCTGTTTTGTTTTTTGCATTTGGCATTCTTCTGGTTATTTTCCTGCATGTGAATAAATATTCCGCTTGTTCATTGGGAAGTACAGACTATACTGAAACTGTCCCAGCAGTGTGATTGCTGGAGCAGAGTTGATGGTCAGTAGGATCCGGTCGCAAAGACACTGGCAGGGCCTTCAGTGGAAGGGCCTTGAGGCTGCGGGAGTGGCTGTCACATGCTGCACCCGTTAGCAGGGCGGGGAAAGGCGCACCCAGGAAACTCATTGATGAGAGAGTGATGGACATGATACAACTCAGCAATGTTTTTGGCTTGGGGCATGTCATTGCAGGAAGTTTTGCAGCTTGAGAGACAGATGGGAGGACAGCTCCTGGAAGAACCGAAGGCTCTTCATTTCAAAGGCAGCACCCACAACCTGCGCCTGTCCATTCACGACATTGCCCATTCCCTCTGGAAGAGCAAATTGCTGGCTAAGTATCAGGTGAGGTGCCCAAGAGGAACTAAAGGCTTGGCGACAGCTCCGTAAAAGAGAGATAAACTTATTTATTTTTTTTGTTAAGCCTCACAGGAGGATATTTGTCCGTTGCTTTTCAGAGAGAGTGGAAGGGAGGAAGATGGGGGGAGAGAGAAAAACACTGATGTGAGAGAGACCCGTCAACTGGCTGCCTCCTGCATGCACTCCAGCCGGGGGCAGGGATTGAACCCACAACCCAAGCACATGCCCTTGCTGGGAATTGAACCCATGACCCTTCCATGCACAGGTTGACGCTCTAACCACTGAGGCACAGTGGCCACTTATTTAGACATAAAATATTCCCTTCCTTGAAGTTAATCATACGTACATCAGCACTTGTTTCTCCAAAATAATTTGGGGTTATTTAAGAGTTTTGAAAAATTCTCTAAGCATATTTGAAGGAATGCTTTTTTCTTAATTCTTCAAATAATTGAACTAACATTGTTTTATTTTTAGCAAATAAGACTTCCAAGTCCCTCATTACATTTTCAGGGTAAATGTTTATATCAGCTTGGTTTTAAAAAGTCTCAAATGCATTCATAAGAAAAACAGAACATTGTTATCCCACGTGGTACAATTTGGCTTCAGCCTTGCTAGGAGAGTATCTTTACTTTGGAAACTTAAAAGGAGCCCCAGTTTTGAAAGTGAAATAGCATGTAAAAATAAAACCTGGTGAGGATTTTATTATAATTAGCATACTGATCCCAAGTCCCATTGCGTGTGCTTGTGGGAAAAGCATAGGAACTCTCGAGGGGTTTCCACCTCCTCCATCAGCCTGAGCTCTCAGGAGACTGTGTGGCTGGACCTCTAGCCTCATTCCCAGTCCCAGGAGATGCAGACACACTGCGATAAGCTGGGAAGCCTAGTCTGCATGCATGCAAATCCAGTCCCGTGCCCAGCACTGCAGCTGGACTGGCCGAGATTTCCTGGTATGAGTCATTGAGCATATGGAAGGAGTGAAGGGAAGATTTTCCAGCTCCATTCTTACTCTCATGGGTCGAGTACTAGCACATAAATTGTGGGAGGCAAACCTAACTTGATAAGAGTCTCAAGCTTGGATGGGGTTGCATGCCAGACTCTTCTTTATCACTCAGCACTTGATGGAGAGATCTGGCTTTTAACTTTCTCATTAAATCTCTTCCTTGGCTTTCATCTTCCTATTTTGCAACTGCTATAAAAGTCCACAAATCTTCCCCTTTTCTGAACAATCTCCTTTGTGTAATCATAATGGGAATATTACTTTTATAATAATAATAATGTGATATTTATTCAAACTAAGTCTGGCTGAATTCTTACCCTCCCCCAGACACTCATGCACTTTGGTTCATCTCATGTAGCCCTGGCAGCCGTGTGACTTAGGTACTCTTTTGCTTACTCTTTCACAGAGGAGGAAACTGAGGCATTGCAAGGTTATGTAACTTGCCCCCAATCACCTAATAGGTGAGAAGAGAGTGTCCTCACTTGCACTTTCTTCTCTGCTCTTAGCCACGTGTTTATCCATTTTTTATGTATCAACCTTTTCTTTTCCTTATGGAAAAAAGATTTTAGGATGAGCTCTGTAAGGTGGTCTAGACTTTTTGAAAATGTATGCCCGTTGGAGGCTTAGTGCTTTTTTAGGGCAAGCACTTTCCTGCGGCAGCTAACCAAGTTTACAGTTCCCGACTGTAGTGCCTGTGGCCTTTCCCCTGTCCTGCACAGAGGGAGGGTATAGGCATGAAAGGGACCTGGATCAGCCCACTGTCCTTCAGAGCATCTTTGCTCTTCTCCAGAATACCACAGCAGGGATTCCTCTTAATGAGCACTGACTCTAGTGTGCAGGTTTTATATAAACCATTTACAATGACTTTTTTTGTAAATGGGAGAAAAGTGTCAGACTGGTTAGGTATACAGATTCTGGAAGCTGACTCCCTGGGTTCAAATCTCAACTCTGCCACTGACTAGCTGTGGGGCTTTGGCTGACGTACTTAACATCTCTGGGCCTCAGCTCTTTCATTTGAAAAGGGGTTTGGGATGTATTTATTTGTAGGTAGGCCTGTTGTGATTAAATGAGGTAATATGTGTAATGAGGAGAAGAGTGCTTGGCAGCCATGCCTGATTGTTACTTTTGGTGTTAGTCACTCGTTTGTGGTTAACAATATTATATCCTTTAGGAAATTCCTTTTTACCATATCTGGAGTGGGTCTCAAAAGAACCTCCACTGCACATTCACTCTGGAAAGATTCAGCCTGACCACGGCGGAGCTGGTTTGCAAACTCTGTGTGCGACAGGTGGAAGGAGAAGGGCAGATCTTCCAGCTGAACTGCACCGTCTCAGAGGTAAGAAGCTCAGCTCCATGTCTCAGAACTCAGGGGACAGAATGTCCATGGGGAGGAGAGACAGTGTGGAGTATAAAGGTGTCTCGATACAGGCCACATGGGAAGCCCTGAAAAATCTCTCTATAGGTTCTATTTGTTAATAGAATGGTATATTTAATAAACACAGGGGGCTAGATACACAGAAGAATATAACAGGGAATCCTTTTTGAAAAATAAGTATTTTACTTTTTATGACATAAATTGAAGAACTATGTTCTAACTTTTTACAACAGATCTGAATTCCAAATATAAGGTTAGTTTCAGTAATGTGCACATGGAGTAACTTTTCCCAAAGCATCCCTTGATGTGTCCCATGCCCGCCTCCTCCGCCTCTCCTCCCTGTCCCCTCTGTCCTCAGGGAAGTGGCCTACCTTTGCCTAATGGCGCTGCCCACTGGGGTGGAGGCAGAGAAACTGGCCTCTGTCCCCACCGCTCCTTTTGTCTTCTCTTCCTTTGTGTCCCTGTTGAAAGGAGACATCTCTTGGCTTCCTGTCTCTCTTTTACATCACTCTCCAAATATAAGAAGATATGCCAGAGATGTGTTGTACACTATGATGACTATAGTTAGTGATAAGATATGGAATATTTGAAAGTTGATGAAAAAGTAGATCTTAAAATATTCATCACAAGAAAAAAATATATAACTATGTATAAGAACGAATATTAACTAGGTTTACTGTGGTGGTCATTTCACAATCTACACAAATATTGAATCATATACATATTATAATATTATATGTCAATTATACCTTAATGAAGATAATTGAAAAAGAAAAAAGATGCCCTCTCTCCTGGAGTAGGAGAAATGTTCCAGAAATAGAAGTAAAATCTGCAAAATTTTCCCCTAGTTGCCTCACTTTGCCTTTGTCTGCTGTGATCTTCACGCAGTTCATTCAGTGGGGCACTTTTCTTTGCCTCTACCACAGAAAAAGTGATCAGCACTGCTATTTATAACCCCTCTGTATGGAAAAAGGGGTGCGCATGAACGGATCTGTTAAGGCCCCAAGGCTGTAGTCGGAGCAGTGGAAACCCTTCCTGCTGGAGGAACAAAGGCCGCAGAATAAGCAGAGTGGTCAGAAGGCAGCACAGGGCCCTCCTGGGCCTCCGGGAGCTCAGCTCTGTGCTGTTTGCTGAGCCTCAGAGCACAGGATGGCCGTATTTTAACACTACAGAGGGACAGCATGTGATTTAAAAGGCGACTTCTCTCTCGCCGTCTCATGCACAGTGACGAATGAAATGTCAGGATGTGCAGCATGTCTCGCTCCACATGTTGTATTTAAAGACTGTCTCCCTTAGCAAACCAACGGGAAAGCATGTCGGTCTCCACGATGCTCCATCCCTCTTTCCCACAGCCTGCCCGGTGCGGTCATCATTTCCTCCTGTAGTTCCATGAGACTTTTGACTCATAAACAACTTTAGTCACAGACCCGGTGACATGCGTCAGGAATGATCTCGGTGTCAGGGTGCCATGGCAACCGCTGGGCCTTCCCGAGGAGCCAGCCCTATCTCCCAGGCGCACAGCAGCACCCCTGCTGGCTCCGGAGGGTGTTTTCACTTTCCAGGCCCAGCGGGTCTGCAAAGTTCAATAACCATCCAGCTCCAGTAACAACAAAGGCTGCGGAATTTGGAGGGGGCGAGGAGCTCTGCTCCTTTGATGCTTGCTTTCTGGTGGGGGGAACAGTTTGCTGTGTGATGAAAAGATGGACCAGATGCACCCGGGAATGAAAGAGAGCTGTTGAGGGCTCTTCCCTGCTAGGTCCGCCACCCCCTCCCCCTTAGGGAAGACACAGTTTTGCATAGTGTGATCACAACTTAAGGACTTTCTTTCTTGTGCCAACATAGAGGAAAAGATTATTTCTTTTGCAACTTGGCGGCAGTCAGCTCATAGAGGCCAGCCCTTCCGTCCTGTCAGAGGCCTGTGTCCCTGTGTGTTAACAGAGGGAGGTGCAGAAATGACTGCAGTCAGATGACTTTGGGGATTAAGGGGCACTGTGCTGCTTTTACTTCTGGGTCACTGAGTTCCTCCGTGGTTGTTAGCATTTGAATGCCATGCGGGAGGCCCACTGAGGGGGGGAAGTGTGAGGCTGGGTTCTGACGTAGGAGAGCGAGGCTCAGTTCTGCACAGTTAGCTCCAGAGAGCCCTGAGACCCTGAGCCTCATCAAAAGCTCTGAGAAGGGGTGCACTGTGACTGACAAACCATAACCAAACAGAGAAAGGGCTCCATTTGTGGTGTCTTTCTTCTCACAGGGCTCCTTCCTAGGGTCACCCAGCAAGCTGGCAGGTGGACTGGGGTTGCAGTTGCAATGTCTTGTCTCCCAAGAATGAGCTGACTTGCCAGGAATGTGCTGTTCCCTCCCCCAGCCACCCACCTCTCAAGGCCCTCACCAGCAGTCATTTATAAAGCGACATGGCCCTTGGCCTCTCGTCAGGAGGAGGACCCGTTGCCCCCCAAGGAGACCAGGCTGTGCTTGACATAGACCATGGTGATGTCAAGAGCCAGGCAATTGTTCCTCTCCCAGTGCTTTGGCCAGAGATTCCTTAACTAGAAATAAAGACTTTAGTCTCACAGAAATGAAGTTTAAGAATGAAAATGTCTAAAAAGTATGGGCATAAATTAATGTCAAAATGTAAATGATAAAAGGTATTTTTTTTTTAGAGGGATGGGGGAGTAATAACAGGGAAGCTACCCATCACCACCAAGAGAAAAAAAATGGTGTAGGGCAGAGAAATGTATAGTCTCTTCAGGCCTTCTATTTAGTTTTAGCTAGAGACAAAGACCTTATAACCCCTGTTAACTACTGATACACAACACTTTTGTGTACATAGAGAATAATATTAAAATTTTACAAAGTAACATCACTTTGCTATAACCATCCCATCTATTGACCTCTTCTGAGTTCTGTAATCTTTTCAAAACAATCATTGGGAAAATCCAGGTTTTCTAATTGACTTTAGGAAGAGTCAGAATATGGGAGTAGAAAGTGGGATCTGCTGTGGAGTGAGTGCTGAAAATGTGTGTCATCACCCATAGCAGCTGTTTGTTTAATGGTGAGAAACCATATGCTTAACTAAGGGACTCACAACATCAAAGACAGATGGTACCAATATCATAAACAATTATTGTAATAAGCATTGTGCGAGAGTTAACTCTACTTTTACCTGGAAGTGAAAGAAGAACTAATAGGAATTGAAATTATTAGATGAAATTTAAATGTAAATGTAGAGGTGCATTTTTCTTTCACCTCCAAGGCTGTTGTCAGCCATCTGATAAGAGAGACAAGACATTATGTCCTATTGAGCTTGTTTCATCCACATAGAAGTAAACAGGCACAGTAGCCAGGGCTAGAGACTCAGGGCTGGAAGGGCCATGTAAAGTGGTGATGATTCCCTATTCATTAGGAAAAGGAGAGCAACATGGATATGTGAGCAGACCTTCCTGAGAGCCAAGCCTACCTTTACCTGCCTTTACCTTCAGGATTTAGCAATGACAAGAGCCATGCTCTTGGCCACATTTAGGTGGAAGGAAGCACCACACACTACTCTCTATGGGGTGGGTTGCTGCCAGAAACTGGTTTCAGACCCTTTCTGTACTAGGAAAATTATTTTCTTTCATTTCAGCAAATATAAATTGAGTAGTTTCCATGTGCAAGTCACTGTGCTGAGTATCACAGGAGCTCTGAGAGTGACAAAATACTCTGATCTCCAAGAAATCTGAGCAGTCAAAGGAAGTAACATATAAATACTACCAACATGCATAGGATAGAATACGAGAATTACAGGAGAGCTGTGAGAAGTGATGGGTGAGTTTGCTTCAGGGAAGCTCAGGGGACATGGTTTTGGTCCAGACTTTGAGAGGTTTGCCTGGCAGACACTAAAGGAAAGGGCAGAAGGAATATCAGAGGTAAATTCTTTAAAAAAGGTGCTAGGGACTGTGAGTGATCTGGTTTAAGAGTTTGAGTCATGTCAAGGCAACCTGAGAAAGATTAGGGTCAGGTTGTCAGGTGGTGGGAGCACATGGGCATGGGGCCCCTACTCCATGTCTCTGTGCTTTATAAGCATCACCTCTGGGACCTCATACCAGCTGACCAGGCAGATGGTGCTGATATCCCTCACTGCCTGATTAAAAGTTGGGGCTACATGTGGTAGGAGAGTAATTTAGTGCTTCTCAATGGGGGGAGGGCATCAGCTTGATGCTTTAGGAAGATCAGTGTGGCAGACAGGGATGGATCACAGGTAAGCAGGAGGGAGTTACTGTGACCAACAGCGAGAAGAATATCTGGGGACGGCACTGTACAAAGCAGACCTCTCCTCGTGTAAACTTAATCTTCACTGCCAGCAAGGGACAGTCAGGTTGTAGTTGTATTTGAGGGACATGGTAGGTTTCCTTCTGAACCCTAGTGTTACTGTCCACACAAGAAGCAAGCTGTACCTCAGTGTGGCTGATGGCACTCATCAAACACCGTGTGATTTCTCTTCGCCTCTACCTCCCCAGTGCAGATATACATTTTTTTTATGCCTAATGTATGTTTGGGCACTTGGATTCAGACATCCTCAACATAAATCTATTGATATACACCAACAAGTGCTCTTGGATAACTCTTCTGGTCCCTCCTGTTGAAGCTCTATGCCAGGGGTGGGGAACATCCGGCCCGCTACGGCCCGCAAAATCATTGGGTCTGGCCCTGCCAAGGCAACCACAGGTGGGACTGGAAATTCAATAAATCTAGGAGCTTTTTTTCATAGCTAATTGTTAAGTTGATGATTTTGTGTGGCCCATGAATGATGTTATAAATATCCAAATGGCCCTTCGCAGAAAAAAAGGTTCCCCACCCCTGCACCTATGCCCTTGAGGTCAGGAGCCTTCTCTGCTCACAGTCCCTTGAAAGGAGCTCTGTGCCAAGTGCAGGAAAAGATCTGCAGTCATGTCCTCATTCAGGGACTCCAACTCCCGTTGTTGCTTCTGTATTTCATACCAGTTTGTTAAATCCTGGCATGAGCTGCTGGACTTAACACAAAGGAGCAAATGAAATCCTGGGAGTCTGAATTTGCCAAGCCTCAGGTTTTGAGGCCAAACACTGTGATGGCAGCCAACACCACTCTGTGTATTACTGCAAAAAAAAAAAAAATTGTTTAGCTCTAACGTGTGCATGGACCATGTGCAGTGGGATCATACAAGCCTATCAGCGAGCATTGGCTGCTGATCCCAGAATGCAGGATGCGCTGTCAGTCAACACTGGGACCCAGACAGCAGTGACCCCCACAGTAGGGAGTGCAAGGTTTGGGGGCTTGGGCAACAGTGACACTGACCCCTGAGCTGAGCACTGCAAGGCACCAGAGTCTCCTTGATGGCGGAAACTGTGTGTGGCTAGTTTATTTTCCAGCAACTAATTATGTGCACCAAGGAGCTGCCTGCTTTTAGAAAAAGACAGAGAAAGGTGACATTTAAAGTAGATTAAGGAGGTTTTCTGTTATTGCTTTAATAGTTCCCAGGCAACATTTGCTTTTGCTTTTCCAACCAGCAGAAGATCAGAAAATGATTAGAGTTTCTCCTACAGATGAAATTCAGATTTTGCATTTGTGCTGTTTTATGAGCTGAAACTATTTTAAAAGCCAATTTATGGTTTTCTCTACTAAAATTAGATTTTAAAAAAATAAGGCTGTACAGCAATTGGAGGATGCCATTAGCAGCTTGTCCTAAGGCAATATACTGCGTTTGCCATTTTCTTCAAAAAATTAGTCTTAATTTGATATCATTTAGAGGAGAGCTGTGTTCCATTTCATTCAACAAGAGCGGCACTGAGCCATCTTCTGCAGACGTTGGAGCAAGAATGTACTTGGGCATTTGCCTAGGGCTTTCCCATCAGGGTCGGACAGGTTCTTGAAGCTCTTAACTTCTGGCCTTCTAATCTCAGACCTGTTCCAGATCTGTTCACCCGTAAATCCAAGGCTATGCAAAGTCAGCGCCGAATGCACCTCTTGCTCTCAGCCAGGTTACAGAGAGTGAATCACAACTTTCAGCCCTTCCCACTAGGAAGTAGAATAGCACCATTCTCTCCTTGCTGCTCAAAGCGAGGCATTGTGGTGATGGGCTCGGCAGGGATTGCTTTTGTCTTCAGCAATAATGCCATGTTGTTCTTGCGCCCCAACGACAGGAACCTACTGGCATTGATTTGCCTCTGCTGGATCCAGCGAGCACCATCACCACCATGACAGGCCCCAGTGCTTTCAGCATCCCTCCCCCCATCCGGCAGAAGCTCTGTAGCAGCCTGGATGCCCCCCAGACAAGGGGGCACGACTGGAGGATGCTGGCCCACAAGCTAAACCTGGACAGGTGGGTATGGCCAGGCTCGGGACTCGTCTCTGTTAGACACAGGGCTGCAGGCTGCTAGCGGCTAGACACCGGGCAGCATTCTTTTTGTTTTCTTTTTATTCTCATTTGAGGAGATTTTTTCCATTGTCTTTTCAGAGACAGTGGGAGGAAGAGAGAGAAAGAGAAACATCAATTGGTTGCCTCCCACATGTGCCCTCACCAAGCCAGGGATTGAGTTTGCAACCGAGGTATGTGCCCTTGGTCAAACTCGAACCCGGGACCCTTCAGTCCTCAGGCCGACCCTCTAACCACTGAGCCAAACAGCTAGGACAGCATTCACTTGTTTTTGTCCATACATTTATTTACTTTCATCCTGCAAGCGTGTGCGAAGCTTCTTCTTGGTATCTTGCGCTGTGGGTTTGCAAACACATTGTTGAGAGACACTCTGGGCTTATCTGATATTTGCAAGTATCAGGTCTTGTGACTCACTCTGCAAAGCGGGTGGGCTGAATCCCCCGAAGTAACATATCCACTCACTAAAGTAATTATTGTTCTCCATCTCCTGTAGAGCAGGACCTAAAGCTGGGTGAGTCACTAATATGCAAAACACAGCGTTGACATTCAGTTGTAAAGAGACCTCAGAAGCCTTTGTAAAGTGCTGCCACCACCAAGCAGGAGACAGGGCATGGCCTGTCAAAGGTGATCAGAGCCCAGGCTGGAAAGAAAGCCCGAGCCTCTTGACTTCCTGTTCAGGATATGACCCATACACAGCTCGTCTCTTAAATTATCTTACTCGGAGTTGAGGTTAACAAAGTTAAACATTACATCTGCTGTCAGGGGCCGATCTAATCAAGCGTGGGCTAGTTACATAGGACAGTCCACTGTAAACCACAGCTTCTCTCTCAGGTGGGACCTGGATGTTTAACAGGCAGATGCAGAGACAGAAGGGGATAGTAAAAAGTAAAGAGAAAATCGATCTGCAAGTCATGCCATTCAACGCACTTGCCCATTCCCAACTACAGGTACTTGAACTACTTTGCCACCAAATCGAGCCCGACTGGCGTCATCCTGGATCTCTGGGAAGCACAGAACTTCCCGGATGGAAACCTGAGCATGCTGGCAGCTGTCTTGGAAGAGATGGGGAGACATGAAACGGTCGTGTCTTTAGCAGCAGAAGGACAGTATTGATCCACGCTGGGACCGACGACGAAGGGAGTTGTCGCCGTCCAGAGGACGGCGGCTGAGGAGGAAATCCAGACCCGACCCGAGCAGTGAGCCTCACGGGGAGACGGCAGCAGGAGAGAGGGCGCAGGTGCAACCAGGCTCTGCGTGCCCACGGCATGGGCGCCATCACAGGAGCTAAGAACAGCTGTGTACATTTGTACCTTGGATCTAGGAACCGACCGGATTTTCCTCTTTGTTGGGCTGTATGCTGTGTGGTACAGGATCTTACAGTTTCCTAGGAAACGCTTTTTATTGCTATCCAGATATATGGATAAACTTTTCTTAACAAACCCAGTTTCTACAAACGTTGTTTACATCAAATTGGACAGAGATGCAGACACTGTCCATGGCTCGTTCTATTTTTGTTTAAATCATTTGAAGTTGAAGCTGTGGACGGTTTGTTGTGTCTATTTCCGATTAGTAATTTACAGAGAAATCACAGACTTTTGCTACAAATCATGCTTATCAAGTGTCTCAGATAATCCTCCCACCAGTGTTCTGTTTCTAGAACTTGTAAAACCAGTGTTACTGTTTGTATCAGGGAAGTGGAGAATCTAAGTGCAAAGGAGAAATAACTAAGACTCATTCCTTGAGGATACCCATCTGGTGCCCTCTGGGAATAAGCTGTAGCATTGCAGGAAAGACAGTGATTCGTGTTCAGCCACACAAACAAGCATTTCTTCACAACATGTGTGTTTGTAATATGCAATTTGAAGTGTGTGGGGTTTTTTTTTTAAGGGCATCATTATTACCATTATTATTATTGATGAGTATTTACAAGTATTCTAGTAAAAGCATTTTCTTTTAGCTTCTGTTTTTGTTAGCAGTACTGTTAGTATTTAGGTATTGACTAGACCTGCCTCACCTTCTCCCATAACAAGGTGGGTGTGGTCACCAGTTTAATTAAACAGGCATTGTTTCTTGACCTTTCATTGTTTCCCATCATTCTGCCCCAGAAAGGTAGCAAATGCTTACTGGCTTTGTCAGGCTGTTCTTTCAGCTTGCTCAAGCAGGGTCTTTCTCCTCTGAGTTCTCTATTCAAGTTCACTTAATATTGGGGTCACATGGCCTCACCTTGACTCCCCTCAATACTCTGTCTCCCTTAGAAGCACCGTGGTTGGAGGAACAGCCTCTGAACTGGAAATCAGGAAACCAGTTCTCATTCTGGGTTTGTCATTATCTAGCTGTGCTACCTTGGGTAAGTCATTTAACCTCACCTGACCTCAGTTTCCTCACCTGTAAAATGAGGGGTGGGATTAGATAATCTCAAGGTTCTAAAATGCTGCCCCTCCACTCCAGTCTCATTCATCAGTGTGAAGACCACAATGGACTCTGAGCTGGATCATTTAAAGATCCATAAAAGCTAGACTCTTGTCCAGGCTACATTATGCCTTTCAAATAGTTCCGACTTGGAAGATAATTATTCTAACCTGTAACATATCTGTTATACTTTCAAGTCTTGTCTTTGTGTCAATGAATTACGCTGTTCACCAAGAGATGGCATCCCTTTATTGTCACTTTCTTTCCTCTCTTGGGACCATTTGCCTTCCTGGTTAGTAGCAAATTATGTTCTATTATTGTCTTGGTCAAATTTTTTAAATTAAAAATTTTTTAACTGAAAAATAGTTCATCAAGAGACTATTTTGTGTAAACTATGATATTTCCTTAGGACCATCACAGGCTCTTTGTTTTAACACAGGGACTCAATTCATTCAGCAGGTGGGGAATAGAGAGTCAACACTCCAGTAGCCAAACAAAGATTGAAAAACAACCCATGCGAATGAATGAGAACCTTCAAAACATGGCTGTGGTTTACTTTGGGGCTAGAGGTATCCAGGTCGCTGAATGGATTTGAATTAGAAATAATTTCATACATTTTCTCCCTTCTTTCCACATATATTTCCTCTCCTGACTATTCCAGTGACTACTTGATATTTCCAGGCCCACTCCATCCTTTCATTGAAAAAATATTGATACCTTAGTATGGAGCCTTTTCTCTCAGGCTCTTTATTTCTCATTTTCTGTTTTAGGCATGTACTCTATAACCTGTCTCTCTTAGGCCATCCCCTGCACCATATATAAAAATGTTACACTTATCATTGAAAGGGAAAGGTTGCACTAATCAACAAGTTCAGTGGATAATGTCTGTACCAATGCATATTTGACCAAAAGATAGTAAAATTGTATTCTACATAAAAATTTTTAAATATATATTTTTTAAAGTGGAGGAGAAAAGAGAGCTATTATCCATTGCTGCATCTTGAAATAACTTCTTAAGATTGCTCATTACTGGTTTTGGGGCAGGTTGTCATCTATGGAAATCAAGACTTAGAAATCTGAAGGATTCTCAAAGGAACTTCCATGCCTAGTGAAAAGTAGAGAGGGGCAGATATGCAGCTATCCAGATAATCAACTCAAAACTTGAACTGGAAAAAAGTCATTAAAAATTCATCAACACAGAAATATTGAACACAGCAGGGACTGTATTATCAAAGCCATCAAGGGCCTTTGGCATTCACTTCGGATGCTCCATGTTTTTGGTTCAGCATCCTAGCACCAGAAGAAGGAAGAGTGGTTGATTCTTTCTAAGCAAGGCATTCATCCATCATCTGTTGTAGAACCCCTGTTATGTTTCCTATCGAGTGAATGGCAACTTCCATACATACAACACACCGCCTATGTCAAATAATTTGCACTATGAATTCTGATTTCCTTCTTCTTTGGAAAAAAGCAAGGCCCAGAGCCAACAGTTCATTTTGAAGGAGCCACTTCATCAACCATTCTGTGACCAGTCCTGCCTTTCATGCTTATTTAGCTTGTGTGGAAAACAGGTTTACTTCATTTGGAAGGGAAAACCTATCACTTGTGCATGGTGCCACCTAGTGGTGTATAACACAATCTACCTTCAGTTTAATATAAAAACTCACTAAAACTTATTTGACAAAGGGAATAAATACCTGCAGAGTCAATAGGACCTATATGACAAATAGACATGGGGAAATTTTCACTTCAAATATAGTTTTCATATTCTCACATTTTTTTTCTCACTTAAAGTACCCATGTCAAAAATTGCATGTCTGTCATTATGAGCATATTATGTCAACTCATTCATACATGGTACATCTCAAGTTGGTTTTTGGTAATAGAAATAACAGAAATACATAAAAATCTTTATAAAGCAGTCTTTGAAGAATTGTCATGTTAACATTTATATTTTTCCTTGGGCTTTATATTAAATCTTTAAATCTCCTTAACTTTGGTTCTCTAACATTTATTTTTGGAAGTATAAGAAGCATTCACTTGGAAAGAAATGAGTTTTATATATGAAAATGAGCATCCTATTTCTAAGTAATTGAAAATTGTGGTTGTTAATCAAGGAGAAGAAAGAAGCTTCCTTCTTCTGAATTTGGGGATCTAAAGGCAGAGATTTCATCCTGTTTTCATGTTTTTCTCACCACACTCATCTGACTTTCCTTAAAGTGATCTGGAAGAAATAGAAGTTGGATTCAGAATTGATAACTGGGCACAAGGTGATGCAAATGTGTAACACAGCTAACAGCCTTTTCATATTCTGAGTGAATACCAGCATAGATACCCACCTGAGTTACACAGAAAAACCTATCCTCACATCAGTAGTGTAGGCTCTTCCAAGGCAGGGCAATGTTTTGAGTGAAGTGTCTAATATTAAACTGCCTAACCACTGGCCATTTTCATATATCCTATTATTTTGTAGGTTTTCATCTCGCAACTTTCAAATAGTAGACCTTTCTTTAGGAAGACATCAGGGAGACTGAGTTCAGGACACTCTGGAAACTACACATTTAATAATATATTTGAATGGCATTTGTCCTATATCTTACAAGTAAGCATTCTGATAGTAGAATCAAGACTTTTTACTTCTTCTGAAAGGAGCAAACAAGGCTCTTGTCTTATGTCAGGGACACAGCTTGGTCCACTTACTCCTCTGTTACTCATCAGTTTATGAGGAAGGGAGCCAGTACGGTGATCACTGTCTCCCCAGAGTTCATAAGCCTTTGTCGCTCTAAGGTCTGCCCCCATGGGGTCAAGTGAATAAAAACCATATGAAGACCTGCAAGAGAGTATAAAGGAGGCAGAAAGAGGTTACTTGTCGTATTTCCAGTGTTCAGGTTGAATGTCGGCTTTAGCTTTTGCAGAGCAGCTGCTCTAGACAAGCTGTCAGTGTCACTTAGCAACCTCAGTACAAATCCAAGGCAGATGAGAGAAAGAATGACCGTGGAAACAGCTGAAATGAAATGGGGTTCTAACCATCTTCTTTGAGAATAGAGGAGCTTTCGTGAAGCAGAGTGTCCTGGCTCAAAGCCAGTTATTTACAAAGATGATAATGGTCAATGAGCATTAAAATGTGTAGATCCAATAACAAAAATATTATTATTAGTATCTCAAGGTAATAAAACTTTTTTTTCTTAACCTTTCGAGTGCCTCGTAGGACCAACTATTACACTTTGGGTTTTTTGCTTGTGTTTTGTTTTGGTTTTTAACTTTACTGAGCTAATGTTGACTGAAATTCTTAGAATTTTGCCACTGTCCCATGAAGTGCTGTTTCTCTACCCTGAGAAATCTATTTGTATAATCTTTGACTGTAATGATCATTTTGAAAGATTTCCCTTGTATCTCTAAAGATTTTTTTTTAATGGAATAGGGCATAAGGGGAATAAACACATTATAACCAGTGTTAACTGAAACCTATGTCCCTACAGGTCAAGTAAACCAGAGTCATAAGTATTTCCAGAATTCATGCCTGAAAACCTGCTATTTTTGTAAAGTAGGCAGATGGCCTTGTATGTCACTAGGTGGGTTTTCTCCACAGACTAAGTCTAACAATTAACATCCTGATCCTTGAATTTATCACCCTTGCAGTTGCCCCCATTTTCAGAAATCCTACTTTAAAATTTGTCTTCAGAAGACTTCATGGCTCCCAGATTTTCCTGTGGGCCTGTCACCTCCCTGTGTCGATCTTTGGTGGGATAATAATGGTTTCATCCAACCAAATGTATGCCCCAGATATGTATTTTAGCATGGCCGAGAAAGCATCACTAGGAGGACAGAAACTCCACAAATGGACCAGCACACAAAACCAAGCCCTTATAATGGGCTATTTCCCATCCCACTGTCCACTGGACTCTTGTGTATTGATGAGATCTATCCAGAGATCTTCTGGAATCCCGAGTCAGGAATCCATGCAGAACATCTTGAGGGTCATGGCCCAGCACCTGTTGGGTAGGAAACAGGGAAGCTGCCCTAACATACCATCAGCTGCCCACCGGCCAAAATATATGCTACTGTCTACCAGCCTTTCAATGCACCACCTCAGATTTGTGCCTCAACAAAATTATTAGCTCTCAAGGCCATAACACTTCAGAGCCCCTTTCAACTATGCCTAAATCCTATGTGTCATCATTCTTTAATCCCAAAGGTCTACTGGGATTGACACTGTCAGGCCTGCTGTTGAACTTGATGGCACCGACCCCAGGTAATAACCCCCAGTGCTGGAGTTCAGAGCCTGAATTGTAGGCAGGTTTCGCTATCGGCCGCCTAAGGGATGAGCCGTCCTTGGCCTCTGAACCTCAGCATGATGAGGGGGCGACGTGCAAGAACCATGGCCTGAGCTGTGTTCTCCATGTTGAAACAGATCTGCTTTAGAATGGCATCAAACAGCAAGAAAGCCAGGCCGGGGAGAATGTCTTTTCCTTTCATATTTTGTAAGTCTCTTACAACACGTGCTAATGTAGGGTTGTAAACACAAATGGATCCTCCGCCAGGCCTTGGAGAAGGAAGAGGGGAGCAAAAAGAACAAGACGAACGTGTGGTCCGTGATTTGCTTCCTCCCTTCACTCTTTCCTAGACCTTCTGTGGGTGGTGGAGCCTCACCCTCCAGACAGAGTCCATTAGCTCGGTTGCAGGGAACATCATGACCCCGCGTGTGTGCCCCGGATGCCACAGTGCTGTGCGTTCATCGAGTTTAATGTGGAGCTGTAGCAAGCTGGTGACCTTCCCTCTTTGCTCTTTCTAAAGCAGGCAACCAGTGCTGGTCAGAGAAAAAGCCCCAGCAGTCTGTGCTGAAGAGCCCGTGTCATCCACCTGCTGTTCCCTTTGGAGCAGTTCAAGGACAAAAATGTCAGATGGAGGTTTGGGGCTTTGTCATTTTTCTTTTTTTAAACACGACAATACAACCTTGGCTTTTCAGATGTGGAACACTTCTTTTGTTGTTGTGGAGTTCCCTCTTGCTGTATCTTCTATGCAATTCCTTTTCTAGAAAACCCCTGGTGGAGGAGGAGTGCTCCGGGGCATCCCGCCTGCCGCGGGCGGGGCGGAGGCGAGGGCTGCCCACCGGGGGAGCCTCTGTTCTCTCTCTGGCTGCCTCGCCCGATTTTCCTGCAGTCCCTTGGTTTGTAAATTGCCTGCATTTATTCTATCAGCCAACATGTACAAAATGTAAGAAAGAATTTTTAAACAGGTAATAAATTATATTTATAAGCAACAGAGAATGCTGCCTCCTCATTTCTTCCCAGCAAAGCCCTCCTCCGTGTAGAGTCACCATGTGCTTCTTCAGGACACAAAGCTCTTTTTCTGCGTGGGTGGTAATCGCCAGCCCCTCGGGAAGTGGCTTCTCAAGCCTCTCTGCACGTTGGCATCACCTGAGTGCCTGGGTCCCAGCCCAGAGATGCTGCTGATCCCATGGTTTGGGGGCGTGGCCTGGGCAGGATTTTTAAACCTCCCAGGTGATACTGATGAGCAGTTTGTTGGGAGAACCAGAGTCTTAGAACTGCTGCCTTAGAGGCCCCCGGGAGCTTGTGACTGGAGTGTGAGGTCCTCCCCACAGAGATCTGATTTTCAATAAAGTATGAAAACCACTGAGCTGAGAGGTAGGGAATGACAGGGGAGCCCAGTCACCTGTCACCTGCCCAGAGTCCTAGCAGATGCCACTCAGACGTGTTCACCTTGGTACAAGACACTGGTCGCTCCCTTTGGCTGAGCAGGAGAAAGGCTCCAAGTGTGGGACCAAAAGCATCTATGGAACTGAGACATGGAGGAAAGCAGCCCTTCCTTAGGGAAAGAACTAGTTGACCCTTGGACAACATGGGTTTGAATTGAGCAGGTCCATTTACATGTAGATTTTCTTCAATACTGTATTTTCTCTTCTTTGGATTTTCTTAATGACATTTTCTCTAGCTTACTGTGCTGTAAGAATATAGTATATTATACATATAACATACAAAATATGTGTTGACTGTTTGTTATCAGTAAGGCTTCCAGTCAACAGTAGGCTACTACTGATAAAGTTTTGGGGGTGTCAAAAGTTACACATGGAGTTTTTTAAAAATATATATATATTTTTATTATTGACAGTATTATAGATGTCCCTCA